TTGTTTTGTCTTTCCATTGTTGATGATTATGTGTACCACCGATCAAGGAAGAAGGAAGAAAAACAGAAACTTAACTTGGTATTTTTTGTCACACTCACAATTTCAAATCTTAATAATCTGAACATTTGTCTGAGCTGGAAGAGAGCTATTCAGTGCCATTGACTCAATTTCAAAAAATGGCTTTGAACCATTGACCTTTAGGGTAGCAGTCCGGTGCTATTTTTACAGCACCACACCAGGACTCATGAAGTCCTGGTACAGCGCTGTGGCTAATACGCTGGACTGCAAAGTCAGTTTGAACCATAAGGTCAGCAGTCCAAGTTCACCAGCCGCTCCTTGGAAACCCATACAGAGTCACTATGGGTTGGAACAAACTCAAAGGCACTTAACAACAGCAACAACACACCAGGACTTCTAGGAATACATTCCAAATTATCTGCAGTAAATTAGTTTCTCAGTGAAATTTTCACTGATTCTAGGTCTACGTTTGGACTCCTGGTGTGTCACTATAGCAGTGGACTTTGAACCACAAGTTTGGCAGTTCAAACCCAACAGCTGCTCCTCAGAAACTCTATACAGGCTTACAATGAGTCAAAACCGACTCAATAACACTTAACAACAACCACAAGGCCTATATTTATAAAAACTGAAGGAAATGGCAGTAAGTACTATGCGGTCATGAATCTTGCACGTATTTTGTCAAGTATGTATTGTTTTGAGTAATTCGAACATTCTTCTTTTAAGCAACAAAGTAAGCTATCACTTTGATTTAGTTTTTCCTATAACTGCATGTGGTTTCCATCGGGATTTCTACATGATTACAGTTTTCTGGAAAGGTTGTCATCTCATAGTTCAGATGCTTAGAACAGTGACACTGACTAGAAAGAACAAAAAGAATGTATTAAAGTATGTTTCACTATTTTTCATATTCCCAGTTGTGGAACTCTTTCTACACCAAAGAAAAAAAGCACAGTCCCCTGATGCAAAAAGGGATTATTTCTAAAACTGGAGTGGGGGGAAGCCCACTATACATAAATGAAAATATAATATGAAAGTTTCAAATTAACTCTGCACAGGAGAATCAATAAACACAACAATTTTTAAAAAGACTAGTTTAGGAAAATTTTTCTTAGTATATAGGAATCTGTGGAATTTAGCTGCCGAAAACTTCTGGATCAGGTTTTGAGATGACAGAAGGCATACCAAAGTTGTCCAGACCTTAAATAATGGTCTGCCAGAAAATCAAACAAATCTGTTTTGGAAGAAGTACAGCCAGAATGCTCCTTAAAAACCTAGATGGTAAGACTCTGTCGCTCACATTTTGGATATATTATCAGGAGAGAACAGTCCCTGGAGAAGGACATCACGCTTGGTAAAGTGGTGGGTCAGTGAAAAAGAGGAAGACCCCCAGTGAGATGGACTGGCCCAATCATAACAATTGTGAGCATACAGCAGGACCAGGCAGTATTTCATTCTGTTGACTCAAACGTAATGGACTCAAACGTAACAACAATTGTGAGGATACAGAATGACCAGGTGGTGTTTCATTCTGTTGTGCAAATGGTCGCTTGTGAGTCAGAACTGACGGGAAGGCACCTAATAACAACAAACAATTGATAACTTTTGGCCAAGTACTTAGGTTCTTTTGCAATGTAGTTTCAGAAAGTCTTGATGCTATAGTCATTTGCTAATATTTTCACCATTTTAGATGTTGAGTCACAGTGTAGAATCTAAATTGTCAGACGGAGTGACAAATTAGTGATAGAAGCTGGATTTAAAAAAGCTGTGGGAAAAGAGTTGTAACTATAACAAGAAAATTAGTAGAATAAAGCACAGAAGTCTACCTCAGAATAAAAGTAGGAAACTATTTCACCTTTGTCCTAAGAGATTCCCTTGGTACATCACTTTATAAGGTATCTTAATTAAATATTATATGCAGGAGAATTCAATAGTATTCAGTGAAATAAATCAGCAAAATGGTAGATAAGAACTGGTTTTTAAATTTAACTTACCAACATCTTCTACATATGTTACATAACTTAAAAACTATTTCCATGGACTTAAAGCAATGTTCTAAAATGTTATATGAAGGGAATTCAAAAGTTCATGAAAAAAATCCATTATTTTTTCATTGTATTTTCCACAAACTCATGAACAGTTGTCTCTAAATACCTGTTTCGTTGTTGTTACGTGCTGACAGGTCAGTTCCGACTCACAGCGACTCTGTATATGGTTTCTGAAGAGAAGCTGGTGAGTTTGAACTACTGACCTTGTAGTTTAAACTAACCTTGAGATCGATTTGCTTATCCTATGGTGCCACACCAGGTAATGAATGGGTAATGTAGTCCATGTATAGGGTACAATTGAATAAATATTATTCTATTTTCACTGTTGTCTCTACTTTTGTTTAACCTCAAAATCTTTTATATATTGATAAGATCATTTAAGAGTTAAATATTCTCTTGAAATAAATTCATGTTTTCATATAACTGGACATTAAAAAAGATCACTTTCTAAACAACTATTTGAAAGCTTTAATTGAGTACATTCTACCAAAACTTAGAAAATCACTGCAAAATTGGACAGGTTTTGTGAATAGCTTGATTTTAACTGCCGATACTTAAAAATAGAATTCTAAGACTAGCAATTTAAAAAATATTAAATTATTCTTGAATCAATATTGCATTTGAAATAGGAAAGTCAACTTCAGCAGTAAAATAGGGAGTCCCTCATATCCCTGCTTTGAGTACAGATTACACAAAAGACCATAATTAAGCAATTTGGTTGTCATGATTCAAGTAGATATTAAATTTAAAGAGGTTTTTTTTTTTTGACAATTCTAAACCTAGAATACCGGATATATCTTAAGTACAAGTAAAAGTGATCGTACTAAAATGCACATTACTTCTTTTTTTGCTGCATATGCAATCACCCAGTTTATTTAGTTCAGTAATAATGAATTATTAAAAATAAATCAATCTGGCTAATTCAGATATTTATTTTCCTAGATGGCCATTTAGTAGCTCTATATGAATACAACTCAAAATTTATCTAGAATGTGCCTATGTTGAATATACACCACCCCTCCATTCAAGCTGAGCCTCAAATCATGAAGACCTATTGATGAAAGCCTGTACTACTACTATCCTTCCAGAAACAACATAACTGTTAGATCTTGGAGATCAATTGATAAAGTGAAATTCAGATAAGTTTGTCCTAAAATGTTAAGCAAAAATAAGATGCATTTCAAATCTCTTAAAAATATATGCATAAATGTACCATTTTATGTCTGCATCAGTTCAAGTAACTATAGAAAATTAGAACAAATACAAGCAAAACAGAACATCCTCTCCTACTAAAAGGAAGAAAATCTAAAATAGATTATGAGCTTTTCCCCATACAGATGTGTATACACTCATTAGGTTAGTACACTAATCATCTGATGACAGATAATGTTTAATTTGCATATATGCTAATCAATTGTGTGAGCTGTTAGTCGCTTTTAAAGATAATTTGTTTTTCTGGAGGACCATATTACCACAAAGATGTAATTTCTTTCAGTTAATCTTGAAATCAGATTCATTCAAATAATTTTAAAGATGGCTTCCTTTCTAAAAGTTATTTTCTGTTAAATGTTGCTTGCATTGTTACTGTGCTCTTATAGTCATACACTGCAATGCTATGTAATTCTTCAAGTACTAGAAAAATGTACAGTCAATATTATTTCAACATATAAACATCATTAAGTACATTAAAATTAAGGAAAAGAAAAAGGATTTTTCTCTCTAAACTAAGTTTGATATAAATGCTCAGTTAAAAATATCACATGAAACAAAAGGAACAACATAAACTTTACTCTGATACTGTATGTAAACAGAGCATCAGTGATATGAACTCAAGAAAATCTCTATTTCCCATGGTACAAGATATCTTCAGGTATTATTATACAAAAGTAATTGTGTTTTCCTTTGAACACTTACATAGAAAAATTAAAAATTAAAAAAAAAATTTTTAGTGACATTGAAATAGCAAGGTGTATAACATTGTGATCAAAGTTTGGCTCAGGTTCAAGTTCCCAGGTTATGAATGAATGAAATCTGTTCCCACCTGTGCCTTAAGTCAAATTTGTAAGTAAGTTTGAACAGGTGCATACAGATCTTATTTAGCCTTACTTTAGTGCAAGAAAAGTCTCAATGGTTTCAAAGCTGCATAAGCAGCAAGTGAAAGTGATTGCAATAAAGAACTTGTTGCTAGAGGTTGGTTCAAACATTTTGGAGTAAAGGAAAATTTGCATAACATTAAAGGACAGGTTGTCTATAAATTGGAGGCCCATAACCCAGTCACTGCCTGTACTTACATTTCATGTTTGACACAAGTTTAACTTTTGACCCATGCTACCAAGGACTATTTTATACCATAGGCTCTCTTGAAAGAGGTAAGTTGGTTAATAATAGAAAGATGAATTCTCCGATAAGTTTGGTAGGGTTCTAATATTTTTAACACTAATACATATATTTTTTTCATACAGAAATACTACTATTTAAGACCAAGAAAAATAAGCAGGATAAGGTATAATGACCCTGTCCTTATTTTCAAAGTTTAATCACAGAGAAATACATACCAGTAATAATCTATTTACCTCAGGGAAATTTTATTTCAATAAATACCCTAGCAAGCAGGTTTTCTAGTTACTTTTGTACCTATCTAAACAACATACTTCTATAGCACATACAGAATGAATCAAAGAGCCATATAACATGGTACAATAGTACATGTACTTCTCATTTTACTTTACATAAAACGTATAGGTGCAAAAAATTCTATACATCCCTCAAGCAAGTTGTTAGTTGAGACAGACATATTGTATTTTTTTAAGAAAAAAATCCTTCCAAAGAGAACACTAGCCCACAAAAGCAGGTAACACCATCAATTTGTCATATTAATAGATAGTTCTTCTGGGGAGAAATAAAAACACAGAATCAAGCAAAGAGCTTACTCACATGCCTTTCAGCCGTTGCCACATTTTTTCAGTCTGTTCTCCTATAAGATACTTAAAAGCGGTGTTTTCCAATTCTTCAGTTTCTGTAGCAGTAGACCCCATGATGTGCTCCTAGAGCAATATAGTTACAGTCAGTTTCAGCAGCTAGAATAAGTATTCCTCAGTTCACTACAAAGCTCACACATTTATACAGTAGCATCTCTGATCTATCAAAACATTGCAGATTTACAAAGCTGAAGGAAGCATCTGCCAGAATTGCTATTCCCCTTTACAGACATATCCGCTGCTCACCACACTGCCCCCCTCAAGCACACAGCAGTGTAAATAGTTCCTCTGACCTCACTGGAACAATCCGTACAAGTGAGCCTGCTACTGTACTACTGACCGACTGAGCATTCAAGCTCTCCCTCAAAGCAGCTCATTTATTACTGCTCTGTGCACTGAAGCATATCAGAATTCCTACAGTTTACGAGATGTATTCTGAACAAGAGAAACGTGAATGATTTTGGCGCTCCAGAAGATGAATTCTTCTCAACCAACGGAAGGAAGGAAGGATGTAATTAATAAGAAAACAGATGGTAGGAACCAGTATCAGCAGCATCAGCCTGAGAAAAAAAAGTGCCTATTAAAATGCCAAGGTTTTTGTCTCTTAATTTATGCAGAATCAACACTTGAAAATATATTATGCTCTAACAATAAATGCAACCAAAATTAATGACAGCAAAGAGAAAGAACATATAAAACCACCCAGAAGACAGACCACAGAGCTCCACAGGTTGTTACTGAAAGAATATGTACATCTATTGATGCTGTAATCATGCTTATTCACCTTCTCCTAGCAACTCCACACAGTAGGTAACTGACGATTTAACCACAGCAAACACGGCAGCTGCACACAGCCTGCTTCATGAATCCTTTGGGAATTAAAAAATAAATAAGGTGAAACTAGAGTTTATGCATGTAACAGGAAAGGGAGTGTGTGTGCATGTGTGTGAGAGAGAGAGAGAGGGAAATGAGAAAAATTGATGCTGTGCTGCCTGTGCAGTTTAGAAGAAAAACAAGAGAAAGTGGACATAAAAGGAATCAGAACTGAGTCATTTGCCAAGCTCCTAACACATGGCAAGCTTTCTCTGAAACAAGTATAGGACTTGACTGTGAGATATTGCTGTCTTCAGGCTGCTAAGATAAATAAACTTAAAAAGCAATGTATCTTCTTGTTTGTTTAGAAACCCAGATCTAGCTTTATCCCCCCTTGCAAGAAAATTGCCTATTGCCATGAGGCTCCAAGGAGGGAATATCCACAGAAAAGTAGCTAGATGTTGTTGTTGTTGTTGTTAAGTGCCATCGAGGTGGTTCCAACCAATAGCGACCCTGTATAGAGTTTCCGAGGAGCAGCTGGTAAGCTTGAACTGCCGACCTTATAATTCAAATGGCTTTGCAGTCTGGTGCATTAACCCATAGCACCACACCAGGACTCCAGATAGATATAATAGATAATATTTACTAAAAGTTTGAAATGTGCTAGCACTGCTCTCTGGACCTAATTTGTAAAAGGATATTACATATAAGAATATTACAAATTAAGATGTGTAATTAGAAGATGAACAAATTAAGCACAAGGTAAATATAAAGAAAGAAATAAGTATCAGAGCAAAATTCTGTGCAACAGAGAGCTAAACACAGTGTTGTTGTTAAGTGCCATCTAGTCAATTCTGACTCCTATCAACTTCGTAAGACAGAGTAAAACTGCTCCATAGAGTTTTCTGGATTGAAAGCACACCAGATCTCGCAAACCATGGTATTTTCAATCACCTTATATGCATCTGAAAGCTGAACAATAAATAAGGAAGACAGTAAAAGAATTGGTACATTTGAATTATGGTGTTGGTGAAGAATATTTAATATGCCATTGACTGCCAGAAGAATGAACAAATCTGTCTTAAAAGAAGTATATCCAGGATGCTCATTAGAAGGCAGACTAGCGAGACTTTTTCTCACTTACATTGGACATGTTATCAGAAGGTACCAGCCCCTAGAGAAGGACATCATGATTGGTAGCAATAAAGAGGAAGACTTTCAGTAAAATTGATTGGCATAGTAGCTTCAGTAATGGGCTCAAACATAGGAATGATTGTGAGGATGGTGCAGAGTTGGGCAGTGCTTTGTTCTTTTGTAGATGGGGTCCTCATGAGTTGGAACCAACTCCATGGCATCTAACAACAACAATCTTTACAGGAGCAGATTGACATGTTTTTTTTTTTCTCACACAGAGCTGTTGGTGGGTTCGAACTGTCAATCTTTCAATAGTAGCCATGTACTTAACAGTTGCACAAACACAAATCCTTTCAAAAGAACATGGAGACAATAAATGAGATAAAAAAAAAAATGGCAATTTGGAAGGTCAGTAAAGTTGACATGCCTTTAACAAGGAAAAAAAGGAGTGGTTATAAATGATCAATGTCTAGAATATAGAGAAGTGATATCACTAAAGGCTACAAACACTAAAAGAATAATAAGGGAATGTTGTGAACAATTGTATTCCAATGAATTTGACAACTGAGATAAAATAGACATATTCTTGGAAAGATACAAATATTAAAGTTCTCTCAAAGAGAAATAAGTGGTATTGCTAAAAAATCATAAAAACCGTATTAAATAAAAATATCAGAATGTGAAACTATTGTTTCTCTACATATCCTTCATCTCGGTCTACACACTTCTGAAAACTGTGCTTCCATCTCTGTATCCCTTCCCTGAGAATATTAAAAGTGCCGTGAACTGCCAAAATAACCAATAGATCCATTTTGGAAGACGTGCAGCCAGAGTGCTACTTGGAGACCAAGATGGCCAAACTTCATCTCTCATACTTCGGACATATTGTCAGGAGGGACAAGTCACTGGAGAAGGATATCATGTTTGGTAAGGTGGAGGGTCAGAGAAAAAGAGGAAGACCCCCAACGAGATGGATTGGCCAAGTGGCACCATCGATGGACTCAAGCGTGGCAACTGTAGTGAGGTTGGCCCAGGATCGGGCAGTGCTTCATTCTGCTGTGCATAAGGTCGCTATGAGTCAGTACCAACTTGATGGCACCTAAAACAACAACAACAATCCCTTCCCTGAAGAGTTTTGCACTCTTCGATTTACACCTTGTCGAAACTACAGTTTGGTCATCCTCTACAGATTCAAATCACGTTCCTTGTAAATGTTCTTTGCATTATGGAACAAAAATAAATTGAAGTGATGAGGTTAAGACTGTAGGGTGACTGGGGTAAGGTTTCCCAAGGAAATTCTCATTGGATATCCTTCTCCAGTGACTGGTCATCCTGACAATATGTCTGAAGTATGAGAGACGAAGTTTGGCCAATTGGGCCTTCAATGAGCACTCTGGCTGCACTTCTTCCAAAACGAGTCTGTTGGGTCTTTTGGCAGCCCATGGCACTTTCAATATCAACTCCAACACCAAAACTCAAAAGCATCAATCCTTTTACAGTCTTCTTTATTCACTGCCCAGCTTTTGCATGCATATGAGGTTATTGAATATACCATGGCTTTGGTCAGGCACACCTCAGTCCTCAAGCTGACATCTTTGCTCTTCAACATTTTTAAAAGGTGTTGTGTAGCAGATTTGCCTAATGCAATATGTCATTTGATTTCTTGACTGCTGCTTCTATGAGTGTTGATAGTTGATCCAAAAAGAATGAAGTCCTTGACAACTTCAAATCTTTTCCCTGTTGATAAGAATGTTGTTTAGTGGTCCAGTGGTGAAGATCTTTGTTTTCTTTACATTGAGATGGAATCCATACTGAAGGCTGTGCTCTTTGATTTTCATCGGTAAATGTTTTAAATCCTCTTCTCTTTCAGCAAGCATATTGCACGTTGTTAATGAATCTTCCTCCAATCCTGATGCCATGTTTTTCTTCATACAACCCAGCTTCTCAGATGCTTTGCTCAGCATACAGGTTGAATAAGTATGGTGAAGGAATACAACCTTGTTGCACACCTTTCTTAATTTAAAACCATTCAGTGTTCCCATGTTCTGTTAGAACAACTGCTTCTTGGTCCAGGTACAGATTCCTCATGAGCACAATTAAGTGTTCTGAAATACTTATATTTCACAATGTTGTCCATAGCTTGTCATGATCCACACAATCCAAAGCCTTTGAATAGTCACTAAAGCACAGGTAAACATCTTTCTGATATTCTCTGCTTTCAGCCAAGATCTATCAGACATCAGCAATGATATCCCTCATTCCATGGCCTCTTCTGAATCCAGCTTGAACCTCTGGAAGTTCTCTGTCAATGTATGTTTGTAGCCGTTTCTTTATTACTTTTA